GGAGCTCGAGAGGGCGATTAAAGGAAGCATGGGGAGGATGGTGATAGTGACTCGGATGATGATGAGGAAGGTAGTGAGAAGGATGGTAGGGAGGAGCTATCATGGTCTTTGGTAGATTCCGTGGAGGCATCGACTAGTGACGTGGAGGCGGATCCTGTGAAGGCTGCTGTTACTCAGGCTAGGAAGCAGGCGGAGGCGATTCTTAGGGGAGAAGGTAGAGAGGAGGGGGGAGGGGTATGGAGGGGATGTGCTGGGGCTGTTGTAGATACGGTGGAGGAGGAGGAAGCTGGTGGCAAGGGTGGCCTGTTGGGGATGAAGTTTATGCAGAGGGGAGTGGAGAGGAAGAGGGAGGAGGCAAGGAGGCAAGCTGAGGATGTAAGGGGACATTGGTGGTGGTTTGGGGGGGAAGTGGGAAGGTAGGTACTGGAGGAACTCACCGAGTGGGAGAAGAAGGCTGGTGAGGCTCAACAGCAGCAGGAGGAGGATGATGCTTCTGAGGAGAGTAGCGACGTTGAGGAGTATGTCGGGGGCTCATGGGTTCTCTGGATGCTATCGTGCTCAGGCCCTCGACTGTGCCGTTTATCCCTGCAGGGGAGTCGGAGAGGTTGGTCGCTGAGGCTGAGGACCTATTGGAGGGGGCTACGGCTGGTGGCCATGCGGTACAGCTAGAGGTGCCAGCTGTCACTTCACCGACGAAGAAGAAGGCGACTAAGAAGATGGCGCATAAGGAGGCAGTGGAGGCAGCAGCAGCTGTGGAGGAGGAGGAGTCGGCGTCATCAGAGTCTGAAGGGGAGGGGGAGGAGACCCAACAGGACCTGGTCCGGACTGCTTTTGGTATCAAGGGGGGCGCAGAATCATCGTATGCCCGGGAATGGGTGGAGGAGCTGGAGGCGAAGGATGAGGCGGAGAGGTTGGCTGAGGAGGAGGCCCTTGGGGCTAAGGAGCTGCCGGGGTGGGGGAGTGGATGGACTGGTGCTGGTGAGTGAAGGGGGAAGGGGATGGTTTGGGGAGGAGGGGATGGTGATGACGTTGTAGGTGTGGTGGAGAAGGAGAAGGAAGAGAAGAAGGGTGCAGTGGGGAAGAAGAGGCGGCGCCGATTTACAGATGTTATGGTGAATGACGAGTCGGTCAGCAAGAAGGCAGCTAAGAAGTACCAACTGTCGCAGGTGAGGGCTTGGAGGAAGAGGAGGCCCTGGAAGGATGGGGTTTTTGTTGGTAGGTGCCTCGATCGATCGGTGGTAAGGCTGTGGCATACGAGAGGGAGATGTCGCGTCCTCTGGGTCCGGAGTGGCATTCTGCTCAAGCTCACGAGAGGCTTATTCAACCCAGGGTTATTACTAGGGTTGGAGAGGTAGGAGGAGGTATCTTAGGTTGAGCGGTGGAAGATACGGATTAGGTTATCGCTCCGCTGCAACGGTATAAGAAGTCCCTGGATGCGGCGAGTAAGAAGAACATTTTGGAGGCGTATAGCGAGCGGAAGGCGAACGCGCCCTCTCATCACCGCACTAAGGCTCGGATGTGATCTCTTCACACGTTACTAACTCGACACGGCTGGAGGTGTGGTTGTTCCTTATTGCCTCATACGTGGACGGTCGTCGTACCTTCCACGAAGGCTGACGTAATACGATCTATTTACCAATGAGGGCAGGGGTTGAGTTGGTGGTGGCTGGGGTCAATGGGGAACAGGAAGTTAGAAAGGAGTGGTAGGAGTGGCGGACTGATATTGGAAAATCGCCAACTGTGGCTTTCTGCGGTACATTATTCAGAGCCTCTCTCCTGCTCTATCTCTTCAACTCTATACTCGGGGCATTGATCCTTCTTCTGGTCTCGGCGGGACAGTGGGCTTTTCCATAGTTTGTTATGTCCGGTTTTGACGAGGCCGGCGAGAGGCTGGCGAAGATGTGCCGTGAGTTGGAGGCGAGTGGGCATATGAAGGGCACGTCGGGGTGTGCCTCCATGAAGGTTGGTCATGATGGTGATGGTGTGCTGGTCACTCCCAGTGGCTATTTGAAAGGGGAGCTCAAGGGCCTCGAGGATCTGTTCCTGGTGGGAATCGGGATGGTCCTTTTGAGTCAGCGTTGGAAGGACACACATGGTCAAGTACATGTGTTGATGAAAAAATAAAAATTCTGTGGAAATTTCTGGGAAAGTCTCGTCGGTTTCTGTACATTTCTACCCCTTATAGTTGGTGAGGAAACTCTTGAGCTCAGCTGAGGAAGGGGAGTATATATTCCAACTTGGCGTTGAGCATCTCTCTGAATTTTGAGTCAGGACTTGGTCAGGTATCACTCTCTACAGGCGAGATTGGGTATCCACGGTCGGATAAGGAGGTAACTCCTCGGAAGCTGACGGACTCGTGGGAGGTGATGAATATGATTTACGAGAAAGTTGGTATGAATGAATGCACGTGTGTGTTGCACTCCCATCACGAAGCCTTGGTCCTGGCGGCCAACATTGAGGACAGACGTGTGGTGGATGAGTCAACAGTGTTGAAGTGGCGTGCTCCGGCGAATCAGGAGATGCTGAAGGGAATACGGGGATACAGCAGTAGGTTGGGTAAAGGGGTAGAGAGGATGGATTCTTCGGCACAGGGGTCTGCGTAAAGGAATGTATGGTAAACTATCATTTTTCCAGCGTGACAAGAATCGGTGTGGAAGAGTATGTAAATGATCTGTTACGTGTGTTGATGTCAAGGAGTAGATTCACAGGTTTTGGTGAACTTCCGACCGAATGCGTGTGTGAACATTTCTATTGAGGAAACTCCTGAACTCAGCAGCTGAGGAAAGCGAACATATATGCGATGGCTATAGATACAGGAGAGCCTCTCTTGGTGCCTATAATACGTAATACCCCTCATGAGAAGGACCTCTGTCCGGAGCTAGGCAGGGTCCTGGACGCGCTTGGAGGCTCTCCCCCGGCAGTGTTGGTGTTGAACCATGGAGTGTACATATGGGGGAAGTCCTGGGTAGAGGCTCGAAGGCATCTCGAGTGTCTCACTTGGCTCGGTAGTGAAGGCCGTTCGATTACTTCTGATGTGATAGTGGTCTCTCAGCACAGTATGCTGTGGAGGAATTGAAGTGCACTCAGCGCACGGCGAAGATTCCAAAGATATGTCATGGTGGCGATCTCGTTGATCGAGTTGTGAGCTAGTGGCTGCCTGCTGTCGTTGTGGTGGTGGAGAGGCGATGCTGTCAGTTGCTCTTTGACGTTGAAGGGACTACTACTCCCATCACGTTCGTGAAAGACACTCTATTCCCACTGGCTAGAGATAGGATGCTCGAGTGGTTGACAAGCCACTGGGATCACCAGGAGGGAGTTCAGGTGGGAGGGTGGAAATGGAGAGCACTGCTGAAGTCGGCTCAGGTCAGGAAGCTGCTGCCGGCCGAGCTGCGGGACGGGTCTGTGGAGGAGGTGGCTGATATGGTGAAGGAGTGGATAGCAGCTGATAGGAAGGAGCCGGCCTTGAAGACAGCTCAGGGGCTCATCTGGAGGGAGTCCTACGAAACAGGGGGGCTTCGAGCTCCTATGTTTACTGATGTTGGCCCGTGTTGGGAGAGGTGGAAGGCGCGAGGGGCGAGGATAGCGATTTTTAGTAGTGGGAGTAGGGAGGCACAAAAGCTTATCTATAAGTATTGTGGAGATGAGAAGACGAAGGTTTTGGATTTAACGCGGTAGGGACTTGTTGTCGTGGAAACAACAGATGCAGTGATTAGGTTTATCTCGTGTTATTTTGATCCTACTTCTGTGGGAGGGCATTCTAAGCAAACCTCCGAGGCCTACGAGCAGATCGCCTTGTCGCTTGGGGCTGATCCGAAGGATATAGTCTTTTTTACGGATATCCCAGGCGAGGCTAGGGCAGCTAGAGCAGTTGGGTGTAGGCGGGTGGAATTTCATGGCGCGCGGTCATGGCTGTTTAGGTGGGACGGTGGTGGTTGTTCGAGAGGGCAATGCGGCAGTAGACCGGGAGGAGCTGTTGGAGGAAGGTCACCAAGTGGTGGAGAACTTCTGCGATGTTGATATCTGATCATGACGAGTTTCTAATACGCTTTCCGATTTGTTCTTGCGTACGAGCCTCTAACTAGGTCTAGATAGAGTTTTGTTACTAATGTCAAGTGATTCCTCGAACGACGATGTTGATGTGGTGGCGAATTTGGAAAGGATCCGAGCGGAAGTCGTTGCCTTGAGTAAAGGCCGAGATGAGGAGGTAAAGCTGTTGGCTGTGTCGAAGACTAAGCCGGTGAGTGATGGCTTGAGGAGGAGGAGGAGGGGTCTAGACTTATGATTTCTATTAAGATGGATATGTTGATGGAGGCATATGAGAAGTGTGGCCAGAGGCATTTTGGGGAGAACTACGTGCAGGAGTTGATGGAGAAGGCGAGGGAGATGCCAAAGGACATCCAGTGGCATATGATAGGTAGTGTTGTTGCTCTCGTCCAGTAGATCATCTGCTGCTGCAGTGGCGATGTGGATGCAATCCATCTTGGTAGACCATAGGACTATCTGATGTAGGGATAGGCATCTTTATAATTACGTTTACGATATGGAAAGCGAAAACGTTTTTACGTATTACGGATGACTATCAGCTTCAGATGGTCAGCTGGACATTCCGGTGTATGATCCTATCGGTGATGAGAACTTGTATAGGAGACAAAGCTCCTCGAGAAAGTCAATTTCTGTGACTACTTGTGTAGCTCACAATCATCGTTTATCGGCATTTAGGGCATCTCCAGAGGAATAAAGTGGCCCCGTTGTTGAAGGCGGTACCGCACTTGTATGCAGTGGAGAGTGTCGACTCGATCAAGCTGGCTGACAAGCTCAACGCTGCCGCTGCCACGGCGATGGATGAGGGTTTGAGGAGCGAGCCTCTGAATGTACAGCTGTAATTTCGTGGCGCGTGACGGTGGCCTGTCAGGTGTTCATCGAGGTGATGACATCCGATGAGATCACGAAAACTGGTGTAGAGAAGGATGAGGATATCGATGCTCTAGCTGAGCACATCGCTACTCACTGTCAAGGGCTTAAACTGTAAGGAGGGCCTGCCCATGAGGGCAGGACTGGTCGTCTTAGGTTTGGACTGATGACGGTAGCCAATCCTGACCTTGAAATTGCCAGGGAGAACTTCGAGCGACTGGCGGCTATTCGGGAGAGGGTATATGCGCATGCGTGCAAATTTATGATATTGAACGTATGTTCAGCTCGAGAAGAATCTATCTCTGACGTACAAGTTGGAGTTATCGATGGGCATGACACATGATATGCCAATAGCAATAGAATGTGGAAGTAGGAAAGAAGGCGGAGCGAAGCGATTTTTCTTTTACGTTTTTTGTCGATAGGTACTGAGGTTCGAGTCGGATCGGCCATATTTGGTGCGCGAAATTACAAGAAGTAGGAGCTCGCTTGGAGCGTTTCGGGATTATTTTCTCTCCCATCATTGTGACTGTTTCCTGTTCCTGGTCTGCACGTAGTTTAGTTTCTGAAGTGGGTGATGCTACCCGTTCTTGCTATGTTCTTCACAGTTTATATGAGTGATGCTACCCGTTCTTGCTATGTTCTTCACAGTTTATATGAGTAGAACTGTGGGGAGGATTGCAAGTTGGTTATGTCGTGGTATCCTGATGACAATGACTTAACTGCACTAAGGAGGTTACTTGTCCTGGCCCACCGCAGTGGTAGCTGGATCAGCATTCCAAACCTTTGCACTGGTAGAACAGGCGGAGCTGATAACAGTAGTAGGATTAAGTTGGCTAGAGGCGATGGTGATGTGAGTGATGCCTAGCAGGAAGCGATAGTATTGCTGTCCATGTTCAGGCGGCAGGCTCGGACGTGGCACATGTGGTGGACTCGGCGGCTCGGCTGCTCGCCCCGGAGGCACTGAGGGTCTTGGTGAGGGAATCCATACGGCATGTCCCTCACAGGGGTGAGAGATAACAGTGGTTGGAATGGAGGTTCCATTGGCAGGTTCGGTGGGAGAGGATTTGCCGTTGGAGAGTGTTGCTTGTTTGTTGAGGGCGGCCAGCCAGTCTGCAAGTGGAAGGGAGATTGTTGATGAGAAGTCGACTGTCACAGAGTCGGACTCTTTTGACGAACTGTGGCCTCGAGAGCTTCAGAGCTCTCCGGGGAAAGATGGTTCTTTACTCAGTGAGGAGGACGTTCAGTTCTATACGAGGTGGTTGGAACTCGGGAGGTCCAACAGGCAAGGCGGCGATGGTTGTATAGATAAGGGGCGGTGGCTGCAGGAACTATGATGCCATGATTTGGAGGGCTTCGGGCATGGGGTCTTGCGTGGAGCATTGGGATAACTCCAGTGATCGAGTCCGACCTCCCGCTTGTTTTCCCTTAGGGAGATGCACGTTGTAGTTGTTTAATATTCCATCCGTAGTGGTGAGAAGTTGTGTTAGATCATCTCTTATTTCCAAGCCAGCTGGAACTTCAAACTGTGATGACAATCCAGTCTGGTAGAGGAATTTTTGTTGCCTATGTTTTACGCATTAGAAAAGCCGGAGAAGATTTGTGTAGGGCGCTGGGGATTATTGTCAATAATCCCCAGCAATAATTAGATAATTTATAAAAATAATGAGAGATTTAATAAAATCAATAATTTCTCGATGGCAGCCGTCACACTAGGTGTGACGAGACGGTGCGATCAGCGAGCTCTCTGAATCATGTTTATGCCTCGTCCTCTGGCAAGAGCACGTGGCGTGGTGTGGGAGGAGTAGCCCATTGTTCTACGAGCACTCGTGAGGAGATGTTTAATCTCACTAGGATTGTGCATTGGGAATTCTCAGAACATGTTCTGAGTGCGTGTGATCGAATCATGATTATCTATGACTTAGTTGGATCGAGGAAATTTTTCTCGGCGAACTTCTCCCGGGGAATGGTCCGTTCCGAACGGATTCAAATCGTTGAACAGCCTGGGTGTCGCAGTTTGCTTACTCAACACTGCTGTAACTTTATTACTCGTGGGGATCGATTGTAGATCACGATCCATCTTCATCGCCGAATGTTATGATGGTGAGAATGCTTGGCAGTGGCATAAAGACGGGAGCGAGTTCGTAGCGACGTAGCGTGACCATCAGGGAAGCTCTATCGGGAATTCAACAGTCTTGTGAACTGACGAATCGAGAGTTGTGGGAGGCGGATGAAGTGGGCAGTTGTATCAGAGCAACAACGATGTCATTTTCAACATGGCCTAGTGTGAATCGCATCGGTTGAGGTGCGGTGGAGAGGTTCCTGGCGAAGGTCTTCTCTGGACACGAACAAGGTATCCAATTATTCACTGTCACTTCACCTTGACAGAGAGGTCCACCGGAGCAATAGATCTACTTCTGAGTTGAGATACAAGGGTTATTGCGCTCTATACTGCAATTTACAGCTCATATTATAGCCCTGCTTCCCACACGCTCGGAACCTTTGCTCCTTACATACGTAATGACTGTTGCAGAGGAGAGCCGTTGTGCGCTCGACCGCTGGAAGTTCCAGCCTGGAACAGTTCTTTATTCAATACCTTCCGGATAACATACAAGAATTAATCCTTTTCAGCATTCCCTGTCGTTGTTCCACCCTTTAACTATGCGGTACATTGGCCCTCTGAGTTTATATAGTATCATTGAGTGAAAATTGTGAATGATGGCATCATGATGATGCCAAAAGTCGAATCTGTCGATCTTTCCCCGGAGTGGAATTCACCTCCGTCGTTGATTCTTCTGGATGCCGATTTTCGAGGTCTGGCTCTGTTACTGCCCGATCGACCTGCAGGATCGACTAGTTACTCTCCAGCCAACCTCATCTCGTGACGAATTTCGAATTCGGACGATTTCGTTCGGACTAGACATATCACCTTGGTTTCGGACACAGGTCTGAACGGTCGCAGCTTGAAGTCTATTGAGAGCCTACGAGCTGTAGTGCTTCTGACGAGCTCATGTTTGCAAAAAATTTTCAGGGTAACACCATGGAGAAGCATGAAGAGTGGGAAGATGGATCATTGGTGGAGCTCTTTCCCTTCCCAAGCCCTCTATGATGCAACGTAGATCCAGAGCCGTACTGATTCAGTACTACTGAACAGTGCCTGGTGGGGCAGGTCACAGCGGCTGCAATTTTGACCTCGGTCCATCCAGCCGGTGGAGTTGTCGAAGCTGTCCACAACAATACTCTACATGTATTTACCGAAATGACGAGTGTTTCGAATAATTAGGGTGCCTTCGAGTTATCATGTTTGTTCATAATGCGCACTCCATCTCAGCCCGTTTGTTTGAGGCCGCTTGATCCGGTTTGCCTCTGCTGATGCCCCACTCCGACGGTCCTCAATCTCTCCATGCCATCGTGGAGAAGTTGGCTAAGGACTATCCTGACAGGTTAGCTGTTGACGGTCTCGATGGCAAGCCTTGGTCGTACAGTCAGCTATACTCGGCCTCTCTCAAGATGGCGGTAGCCCTTCGAAGTGAACTGGTGGAGTGTGGTGAGGTGACAGGCTACTCTCTGTCGGTGGGCTTGTGTGCCCCTCGTGGGCCTCGCTGGGTTGCGGTGTGCGTGGCTGCATCGGTGCTGGGGGTTCCTTTCGTACCGATGGTCCAGGACCTGCATGCCAATACCAAAAATGAGGGAGAAATTAGGAAGATCGCCGCTACTACTAGAGACCGTAACTCTGCTATTCTGAATGGCATACGACCGGCCGTCTTGGTCGTGGACGAGACCAGTACGCCTAGAGAAACCATCGACCTGGCTGTCAGTGTTGGTACCAGCAAGATTGTCGATATTAATTCGTTGCTCGACGGAGCGACGCAAATTGATCCTAACGAACCCT